TGCCACACACCCCTACCCCAGACACCTTCATCCCCAATTGCCCCGTCTTTCTCCTTTCAAGTCTTTGGCCAACCAGCCAAGTATGACCGCTACCCATGAGTCTCTGGGCATCCTTGCCCAGGCTTCTTCCCTTTCTTCACAAAGTGGATGACCATATGCACTGCCTGTTGCTGTCATTAGAGGAGGATATTCCTTCCTGCAGTCTCTAGGAGCCACCCTGAGTGAGGCTGCAAAGCGGCTGTGGTCCATTTTTGCCTGTACTCACATACCAGGAGACCATGCACCAAGCTTAGCCCTTATCCTCCTCTGTCAGCTTGTCGCTGGAATCCTCCGTGCAGTCTGAGGCAGGCAGGTTGTAGAGTGGCCCCCATGACCCCTGTGTCCTGGTATTCACGCTCTCAGGTAGTCTCCTCTTCAGTGTGGGAAAGTTCTGCAACTTGCTTCTCATCAGTGCAATAAAGCAAAGGCAATGCGATGTCCATGAGACTCTGTACATAGTACCTGACATAAGATGGTAAGGCCCGGGCTTCCCTGGTGGCTCACTGGTCATAAATCTGCTTGCCAATGCAGGGGACACAGGTTTGGTCCTTGATCTGGGAAGATCCCACATGCCAAGCGACAAAAGAGTCGGTGCACCGCCCCTACTGAAGCCCACGTGCCTAAAGCCCATGTTCCACAACAAAAGAAACCACTGCAATGAGAAGTCCATGCACCATGGTAAGAGAGCAGCCCCTGTTCACTACAACGAGAGAAATCCCACATGCAGCAATGAACACCCAGTGGAGCCATAAATAAATAAATCTTTTATAAAAAAAAAAAAGATGGTAAGGCCCATCTTGCAAGGCATTCCTCACGACTCATTTGCTTTGAAGGAGCAAGTGACTATGTTATGAGCTGCCACATGAAAAGAACAGGTGACAAGGACCTAAAGGGGGCGTCTGTCCAACAGCCAACCAGAAACCAAGCCCCTCAATGTGGCAGTGGGCCAGGAACTGGATTCTGCCAATAAGTACATGCAGCTGGGACTGAATCACCCCCTAGTTGATCCTCAGATGATATGACAGCCCGTCGACGTCTCAATCACAGTTTTGTGAGAACCTGAAGAAGAGGGCCCAGCTAAGTCATGCACAAGCTCTGACCCACAGAAACTATTAAATAATTAGTATATATTAATGTAGACCGCTAAGTTTATATAATACTGTTAGGCAGCAATAGAAAGCTAATCCACACTCTCAAAAGCTGAGACAGAGGCGCTGGTACAAAGTGTAGCTGACACAGGAGCCTGGGCCAGCTGCTCATGCAGCTAGCTTATATTCTCTGATCCATGGCTGTTCCCAGGCCTACCACCTCCACCTTATGATGGAATGCTGCTGACCCCTCCCAGCCTTAAGGCTTGGTGAATGTGACAGAACCCAGCTCCTGGTGGCAAATCTGGATACTCGGTCACTTCATGTCCCAGGTTAGGTGTGTAATCTCTGCTAGGGCCCATTAGCACAGGATGGTCTCTTTTCTGAATGCTTCTCTGATGCAGATGGCATAGATTTGCATCTATGGGCAAGCCCTGGGGCCTTGTACTACAAGCGTGCTCTCCTCCACATGGCATCTTTTCTCACCACAGACAACTCTAGTCCCATAGTGTCCATGTGGAACCCACTGGCTGCACTGCCCACGAGTAAGGGATGCCTGTACCTCAACCTCGATCTGCTACACAACCCATTCCTGCTGTCAGTGTTCCTTGTCATGAAGGAAATAAATGAGAGCAGTATTTCTAAATATGGAATGTGCTGCTTCCAGAATCCAAAAGGCCTGCCACACATCGTGCTTTCTTCCTAGTTGTGGGAGATGGCAGATAATAATTTGTTCTAATGCAGTGGAGATGGGAGGGCATGCCCCAAGCCACTGGATTTCTAAAAACCTCACTGATGTGGTAACCCCCTGAATTTTCATCTAGCTTTTATTCTGCCCTCTGGAATGCATGTGTCTTAGTCTTCCGAAGTATTTGCCACTTCTTACTCATTTGATCATTTAATATAATAAGCAATGTGACCTTCTGCAAAATGTGCAGATGGCCAACGTCCTTAAAACTATATTATGGGGGCTTAACTGGCAGCTCAGTGGTAAAGAATGCACCTGTCAGTGCAGGAGTCACAGGTTCGGTCCCTGGTCCACGAAGATCCCACATGCCGAGGAGTAACTGAGCCCATGCACCACCGACTATTGAGCCTGTGCTTTAGAGCCCAGGAACCACACTACTAGAGCCCAAATGCCCTAGAGCCTGTGGTCCAGACAAGAGAAGTCACTTCAATGAGAAGGCTGCAGCTGCAACTAGAGTAGCCTCCGCTCTCCACAACTAGAGAAAAGCCCATGCAGCAACACAGACCTAGCAGAGCCAAAAATAAATAAATAAAAGATGATATTATGGCAAAGGGCCATGGGGTCGCAGAAAGTGGGACACAACAATGGCAAAGGGCAGATTAGCATAGCTTCGGGGTAACATTGTGAGTGTATGCTGTGTCCTGTCCTAGTGGATGTGAGCTGCTTCGGTCCTCTGATAAGGATGGAAATGAATACACTTATCAGATTGATAAGACTTCCCTGGTGGTTCAGATGGTAAAGCGTCTGCCTACACTGCGGGAGACCCGGGTTCAATCCCTGGGTGGGGAAGATCCTCGGGAGAAGGAGATGGCAACCCACTCCAGTACTCTCGCCTGGAAAATCCCACGGACTGAGGAGCCTGGTAGGCTACAGTCCATGGGGTCACAAAGAGCTGGACACGACTGAGTGACTTCACTTCACTTCATCAGATTGATGGTAAACTGTATATCTAAGGCCATGTTAATCTGATCTAGTAAAGATACCATGTCCAGCTCACATCTGTAATTGGGAGGCTACTGCTTGGTTGAACTTATGGAAACCCACTGCTATCCTCCAAAATAAATCTAGTTTTTATAGGGAGCACACTGATGGATGGAAAAGGCATGTGATAGACTACTATTCCTGCTTATTTCAGTTTGGGGGAGCACTATTACTTGCCATACACCTTGTATAGTATTGTTTTTGACTTAAAATCTTCACTGGGGAGTGTAAGGTGGTTTCAGTCGTCTACTTGGTTTTCTCTACCAGCCCTTACCACACAGGACAAGGAACCGGTGTGGTTATCACCAGTACCTAAGTATAGCTGTTCCAGTCAGTCCTCTGAGAACCAGGGAAATGACCAGCAGGTGAGTCTGTGGAGCCAGTGACCTACCAGGTGCCAGACCTGGGTCCAAACTCCATTTATTACCTGACCCCTATCCATTCATTTCAACAAAGGAATTATATGAGAATGCTTTGGGTCCCTAGATTGAGTACCTCAATTCACACCTTGTATCCAACAGTCCTTGAAAGGTTTTCATGTCCTTTTCTGTATAGTTTCATGAATAAATGGCTTTGGGTAAGGACTGAGGAAATCACTACTCATGTTGCCAAAATTCAGCCTCTGTGCACCAGTGCAGAAAGGCAAAGGGGGCCACAGTGGACTAATCAAGACTATGTGTCCTGCCATGAAGGGGGTTAGTGAGGAGTCTTCCAGTGTTCAAAGAGTGGGTCACGATTGGCTTGTGGACATTCTTCTGACTAGTTGGTGGTGAGGTAACTGGGAGTCAACATTGGATCTTTATCAACTTTATTTAGGTATAATTTACATAAAGTAAAAATGTACAAACATTAAGTGTACATTTTGATGGTTTTGACAAAGTAAACCAGTGACCAGATAGGTAACCTGTGGGCTTTTTATACTGTCCAAAGACTATATCAGGCTCTGCCTGTGAGAGTTACAAAGTAGCACAAAGCAGCCTTAATATGGTCAACCCCTTGATTAGGTTAGGCCTGGGATGTATGTACTCAGAGGCCCCAACTTCCTCCTAGGCTACCTGTAAGGCTACCTGAGGGCAGGATCCAGCTTGTCCTCTGCCACATCCCCAGCACCTTTCGGCCTAAGGACACTCCATAAGCATTTGCTGACCTCGCAGCATATGGACACTCCATAAGCAATTGTTGAAAGACAAATGAATAAACACATAAAGTTTAAAACGCGTGATGAGTTCACCCAAAGAAAATATCCATCTGGAGAAGACCCAGATCAATCCTGCAGGTTACAGTAATTAGAAAAAGGCCTGAAACTAAAGTAGTATTTCAAACGGGTCAAATTTCAGTGACATTAAGAAAAAATTCAAAGCTAAGACAAGCAATGGGCAAAGATAAAAAGGGCGGCCTAAAACACTTGCCTAGAGGACACATTGCCTGCACCCTGGTGGCGCACCACCAGATTTCTAGGCAGGGCTCCAGGATTAGCTGACCAGAGCTGCACGGCAGTGTCCTCCCTCTCACCAACGGGCAGACAGTAATAGAGATAATAAGCCACATGCACCCAAAATGGCAAGGAAAAGCATCTTCTTCAGTCTCTGCCCACAGTGAGCCTCGCGACTACCAAGGCGAAGGGAGAGGACAGAGATCTCCAGGGCGCCCTCTTCTGGCGAAGGAGAGACTTTAGCCTCCCCTATTCTCGTCCTTCTTTAGGGTAAAACAGGTTGCAGGCCGAATTTTGTCGCCGCAGAAATGTCAGTGACACGCCCCATGACTGCCAAAGAATTAACAGTGCGGTACAGGTTCCGCAGGCTCGTCCCCACAAAGACAGTGGACCTGCGGGACTCATGGCCCCGTACTCACCTCCCCAACCACCCTGGCGGGTCGGCTCTCGGAGCCCTCCCTGTCCCCAGCCGCTGAGCACGCGGGTTCGCGACCCCGGCCGTGCTCAAGTTCCCTTGCCTGCAGCCTCTAGTCGGAGGGGTGCGCGAGAGCAGAGTGGAGCTTTACTTACACCACCTCATTCATTCCCATCCCACCCACAGCGTACCCGAAAACCCGCGTGTCTCATCAGCTTGAACACTACGATCTAGGAGGACACAGCTCCTTTAAGGCTGGGCGCGCGCGGCGGACCGGAAGTGACGTGCATGCGGCGCATTCCCGCCCTGCCCTTCGCCGCCTTTCGGTGGCGGGAACTCGGGCTGCTTGCTGAAGGCGGCAGCTGTTAAGTGTCCCTGCTCTGCCGCTCGGGGCTTCCCGGGCCTGAGAGTCTCAGCTTGGGGGACGGAGCTAAGACTTCGTGACCACCTCGCCCTTTCCCTGTCCCGGAAATCTCAGGAACGAGCCGGCGGCGTCCTCGCTCTCGATACGAGCGACTGAAAGGCCCAGGCACTGCCGGCGAACACGCGCAGGGAACCGGGGAGAACAGGTGACCAGCGGGAGAAATTGCGAGGATTACCTTCGCCTTTCTCCACTTTTGCGCCCTCGATGCCTCTGATATCTTGCACCCCTTGGTGTACGGGTACCTCAGTCTTATCATCCTTCAGAGCCCTGCTTTGGGCGATATTACAGCCTGTGGCAGGGATGGACTAATCCAACAAAGTTAAAAACCTTAGTTTACAGATATTAACAATTTATTTTATTCATTGATTATATACCCCTATGCTAAGCACAGAGCTATGTGTTTGCACAGTTCTTTTGACTTAGTTACCTTATGAAATGGGCTTTTAGATTCTTTTACAGAAGGGGAAACTGGGTCTGATAAATGGTAATTCAGTCACCGAATCTTATAGAGCATCTATCCTGTGCCACGCCCTGGAAACACAACAGTGAAAAAACAATTGCACTTCCAAAAAAATAAATAAAGTTGCTACTAATGCTGGGGATTTTCAGGCAAACTATCCCTGAAAACAGCCTTGTGCTGCTTGCCTGAATGTTTACCTGAATGTTAATACTTATTTTCTGGGTGAGATTTTGAATTTTTTAAACTCCTCATGCTTTTCTGCGTTGTTTTGATTTTTTTCAAATAAGCATGCAATCAGAAAAACAGCTATTTACATTTTAACATCAGTGTCTCCTCTCCCCCAGTTCCCTCCCCACAAAAGCTTCTGAAGGCAAGCACAGGCTCTGCCAGTAAAATAGGCTCTTGAGTGGAGCTCTAGTCCCATGAGAAGCAGAGGGTTTTCATTTTGGGTCTTGGTACTCCTAATTTTTTAGTCCATTCTAGGGTCTGAGCTAGAGCTAGGCTGATGACTGTTGAGACCCCTGTACAGTTTGGCCATTAATGCCATCGTACTTATCAAAAAGTTAGAAGTCCTTTTTTCTATAACTCCCTCACTATAAGTAGATTTTTAAGTTCCTTTAGTACTTTGACCTATTTATGTCCCACTAGTCCTCCGTAGAATGCATTTAGGGGATGCTAGGTCACAGGGTGATGTCTTTCATGTAGTATTTATTGAATGTCTATACGGGGTTAAGTGTGCTTTCAGGCTATACTTCCTTATAATGGTGTCAAAAGAGCTTTTCCTTTTCTGTCTTAGACCTGGTCAGGGTGAAGTAACCATGCAGGCATTTCTAAAAGGCGCATCTATCAGCACTAAACCACCGTCGACTAAGGATCGAGGAGTAACTGCCACTGCCAGAAGTAGTGGAGAGAACAAGAAAGCCAAACCTGTTCCGTGGGTGGAAAAATAGTAAGAACACGCTTTTTTGTTGAAATAATAAATTACCTCTCAGACCAGTTTTGATCACTTTTCCTTTTTAACTTAAGAGGAGGATGGTTTGCCTTGCTTGTGAAGTGAAGTCACTCAGTCGTGTCTGATTCTTTGTAACCCCATGGACTGCAGCCTACCAGGCTCCTCCGTCCCTGGGATTACTGGAGTGGGTTGCCATTTCCTTCTCTAGGGGATCTTCCAGACCCAGGGATCGAACCCAGGTCTCCCACATTGTAGGCAGACGCTTTACCATCTGAGCCACCAGGGAAGTCCTTGCCTTCCTTTTAAGTGTTGCCAATTAGGACTTCCCTAGTGGTCCAGTGGCTCAGACTCCGTGCTCCCAGTGCAGAGGGCCCAGGTTCTATACTTGGTGGGGGAACTGGATCCTACGTGCCACAACTAAGAGTTCACATGCCAAAGCGAAAATCAAAGATCCTGTATGCTGCGGCTAAGACCTGGCACAGCCAAATAAACAAATAATATTTTTCAAAAAAATCATCTTTAAAAAAAAAATCACCCAATTGTAGAAGGCGTAGAACCTTGGAACTGAAATGTACCTTAGACTACTCTAGCTCAATTCACTTATTTTCTGCATCAACTACAGCCTTCTCTGTAACTGAGGTCTGTGGTTTAGGGGGTTGGGATACAGCAATGAAGAAAACAAAGTTTCTATAAACTGACCACAAGCTCTTAGGAGTTTTGCTTAAATCCGCATAATCTGTTCCTCTTTTCATTACTGGTAACTGCAAATCGTTGAGTTTTTGTTTATACATTTTTGGCAGAAACAACACTGATGGGGCTGTTAAATTTCAGTCAGTTAAGTGATATTATAACAAGTAATTGTAACCCCTAGTATACCCTCAGTTATTATCAAAGAATTGCAGATTACTTATAAGCCAAGTAAGGCCTTCTTAAGTTTTGTTTGGCATCAGTAATGCTTTTAAAAATGGGAAATTTCACATAAAAGTCTAGAATCGTTTTATTAAATAAATTACACAAAGGTTAAAATCTAGATTTTCAGCTGCTCCGGAGATTAGGCAGCACTATATTCAGGTTCTCACCTGAAAACAGTTAAATGGAATACTGCTCATTCTGGAAACGTCATATGTTCCTCACTTCACCGTAGTCCCTACTAGTGTCTCTTGTCTTAAACTTGCATTTTTCACTCTTGTTATCTGCCTGGACTCTGCAGGTATTTGAATATGAAACCCTGGTTTATTTATTTATTTATTTTTGAAACCCTGGTTTATAATACATACTGGTTTTCTAAGATAACATCTGACATAAAATATCTGTCTGGTGTTGGCCTGTTTACTTAGAAAAGTATAAATAGAAAAGAGCTTTTGATTAGTTAACTAAGCACAAAGCCTAACCTTAGTGTTGGATGACTTAGCTTAACAGCATTAGTTATGTAAGACAAAAGTTATACTTCATATTGATTAAGCTTGTTATTTTGTTAGTGCTCAAGTGAATAGGTATGCATTTTTTGTGCACTTAGGTGATAAAAGAAATTGTTTTTAACCAATTAAAAACAAAGTAACATATATGTAACTGTATTAACCATAATTGTTACCTATTTTGAGGTTGCTAAATAGGTCTGTCTTTTCAGCTTAGGTGCATGTTGTCAAAACATGTTACTTCCTAGGCAAGTGTTCACTTTACATTTTGAACCAGTTGACATTTGTGATGTTATAAAATAAAATCCTATTGCATAATTTTTGTAAGTACAACAGATGTAAACAATGCATCTGGAAGAGTGAAACGTCACTTCATTTCATTCCTCAGTATTTATTTGCCTGAAGTGAATACAGATGGGGTTTCCATATCCAGTTATGAAAGTTTCTCATTTCATTACTGATATGAGAGAATTATCATTGGTATTTTAACAAAAGGAAAGACTTCTGTGGCTACTGTAATATACTAAATAAGTTTTTTTCCCCCCCAGTCGCCCAAAATGTGTGGATGAAGTTGCTTTCCAGGAAGAAGTGGTTGCAGTCCTTAAAAAGTCTTTAGAAGGAGCAGATGTGAGTAGCATATGCTGTCTGGAGTCCTAAAGTCATTGGGAGATTTAAGAATTCATTCACCCTCTTCCTTCCTTTATAGCCTCCAGTCCCTTTTAAATACTATTCTGTATATACAAAGTAGGGCCTTTATTACTATTTATACAGTGGAGGAGTAGTTCAACAAATATTTGTTGAGCATCTCTTCTGTCCTGTGGTGGCCTTGTTATATGGTACACAAGTGGAGATCATTAAGCAAGATAGACTGCGTCCGTTTGCTCATGAGCTTTCATTTTGATGGGGAGAGAGAATAAACATGTAAGCACAATAAATGAGAGAATTATAGATAATGATAGCTACTATCCTAAAGGAAATCAATCCTGAATATTCATTGGAAGGACTGGTGCTGAAACTGACGCTCCAATATTTTGGCCATCTGATGTGAAGAGCCTCATTGGAAAAGATGCTGATGCTGGGAAAGATTGAGGGCGGGAGGAGAAGGGGGCGACGGAGGATGAGATGGTTGGATGGCATCATTGGCTCAGTGGACATGAGTCTGAGCAAGCTCCAGGAGACAGTGTAGGACAGGGAAGTGTGGTGTGCTACAGTCCATAGAGTTGCAAAGAGTCAAAAACGACTTAGGGACTGAACAACAGTAGATCCTATGAGGAAGAGTCAAAGATTCTTTGAAAGCATGATTGCTCACCTAATTTTAGGATTTGAACTCCCAATACAATACCAAAAAAAAAAGTGTTCTGTTTATAGCGTCATGTCACCTGCTGTGATATATAGGATAAAATGTCCTTGAGTGAGTTGCATTTTCAATTAATTCAGAGACAAGATAAACCCATGTGAAGAATTAGTAGTTTAAAATTGTATAAGGCAAAGTGTTGTAAGAGCTTAGTGGAGGACGGGAAACAGTTGCAGATGATAGTGGGATGTGGTTTTTGCTTTATTCTGAAAATTTTCTTCCTTCCTCTCAACCTGGTTGTTTTGAATTAGAGATTCTTTGGGTTTTGATGCCATTATTCTCTTCCTAGAATTACACTGCAACAGTATATATTTTGAAAGACGTTATATTTATAAAACTGTTGAATCTTCTTCACTAGTATTTGTCTTAATTTGATCCACATACTTTAGCTTTTAATTTTATAATGGCGTACGATTTAAATTGCATGCTAATATTGACACAGATTGCAGGACATGATTTTTTTTAATTGCTATGATTCATCAACTCCTTAAAAAAATGAAGTGGGATTATGATCCAGTTCTTGATTTTATAGCATCTAATTTATAGGGCTGAATTAAGAACTTTCTTCTTTAACTGCTTGTTTAATAATTTTGTGTTTCTTTTCAGATTTAAGTTTTTTGAAACTTAGAGTTGAAATAATTTTTTTAATTCTAAAGAGTAAAGGAAATTAAAATGGATAACCTGTATAGCACAGGGAATTCTGCTTAATGTTATAAGACAGCCTGGATGGGAGGGGTGTTTGGGAGAGAATGGATAATTGTGTATGATTGAGTCCCTTACTTGTCCATCTGAAACTGTCACAACATTGTTAATCAGCTATATTCCAATACAAAAAAATTTTTTTTAAAGAAAGAGTAAAGCAAAATAATTCATTCCTTTGTTTACACTAAAGGATATTAAAGTAGAATTATAAGAGTTTTTTTCTGATTTTTTAGAACTGATATTGCATGTACAGTGCTTGAATGCTCTATATGTATATATTATCAGAGTATTACATAATGTAAGGCTTAATAATTTTACTGTATTTTAAAGAATTTAAAGTATTCTATGTAGTAGTTGACTGGATGAATCATTAAAACTACTGAGGTAGTTGGATCAAAGTAAAAATGAAGATGGCTGGGAGGTTTTGTTTTTGTTTTTAAATAGTGAATCTCATAGTTTGTGTCTTAAACAGTATGTTACCAGTGTAACAGTAATACTTTTTAAATATATTTATGTATTGGTTTATTTATGTGGCACATACCGAGTACTGCAGGAAATGCTGAGAACATAGATGTGAGTAGAACAAATAAGATTCTATTCATGCTTCCCATATAGTGAGGTGAACAGGTATTTTAAGTTAAACCCAACAGCTAAATAAATAACAATAAATAATTGCAAATTACATCAAGTGCAGCAGAGACCACTGAGAATAACAGAAGAGACCCTCTTTAGATTGGGTGGTCTGGGAAGGCTTCTGACTTGCAGTACAGCAGGAGTTGATAAACAGAAGAATGGAGTCAGACTTCAGCTCATGGGGAAGTATATGTGCAGGCCAGAAAGTGCTTAGCTGTTGGAGGCCATTGTGAGTTGGAATCTAGAAGGGGAGAGAGGTGGTGAGAAAATCATGGACATCTTTATAGGTTATAGTAAGCAAGTTGATTTGGGGATGTGGTTTGTTTTTCTCAGTAGAGTATGAATGTGGTGAACAGCTTTAAGTAGCCAGTAGAGTGGCATCTGATTTGAGTGACGAATGAATGGATGGGAAGAGGGAGGATGGGGCAAGAGTGGAAGCAAATAAACCATACTGCTTAGTTTCCTATGTGTGGTGATTTCCATCCATGAAAGGACATACTGAAGAATGTAGTTTCACAAAGCAAATATCATATGATACAGCTTATGTACAGAAATTAAAAAAAAAAGATACAAATGAACTTACTTACAGAACAGAAACAGAGTCACAGACTGAATAAACAAATATATCCTTACTAGAGAGGGGAAGGGTTAGTGGGTAGATTGGGAGTTTGAGGTTGACATGTCCACACTTCTATCTCTAAAATAGAGAGCCAACAAGGGCCTACTGTATAGCACAGGGAACTCTGCTTAATATTCTGTAATAACCTAAATGAGGCTAGAATTTGAAAAAAAAGACATATGCCTATATATAACTGAATCACTCTGCTATACACCTGAAACTACCAATTATATTCCAATATAAAATCAAAAAATTTTTTAAAGTATACAGTTTCATAACAGTGCTCATCAGAATTTAGTACATTTGTTAATCTGTACCACAGATGAGTTGTCTGTTTGATAGGAGCCAAGCCAGCTAGATTTAAGATTTAAAAGAGCTGGTTATTTAATCTTATCCTATCTTCTACTGATGAAATACATGCAGGCATCCCTACAGGCAGGGTACATAATCATGATGTGGACTACCCTGTGACAGTAGATGCTTTTTTTTTTAATGTTTCTATTCTTGGAACTTTAGCTCATGAAAAGCCCCAGTATGCCATTTTCATTCCTTTTTCCTTGATATTGGCCAAATCCAATTTGGTCATTGTCCCTTTTGAAGCAACCGACATCTTTATAAAATATAAAATCTTGCCCAGTCATGAGAGTTCAGATGCGAGATAAGGAACTGACAGAAGCCCAGGATTCCGTTCAGAAATAAGAGGTTTTTAATTCCAGCTTTGAAAATCCCACCTGTGTATTAGATTAGATATAGAACTATCGTATTGATTCAGTTTAAGATACTAGAAAGACATCTTGGGGAAAAATGATAGTGTTTGTGAAAAAGCAGGATTTAGTACTATTATTACTGTAATACCAGTTATATTAAGAAATCTTTGTATTCAGACATATATGCCCTATGAAGGAAGTCATTACATTCTTCTGTAGACATTTTCAGTCATTTTTAACCTTTGTGTATCAGAATATAATTTAAAAAAAAATTAACTTCTGCAGCTCCCTAATCTCTTGTTTTATGGGCCACCTGGAACTGGAAAAACATCAACTATTTTGGCAGCAGCTAGGGAACTCTTTGGGTAAGTTGAAATCTCTCTCTCTTTTTTAAGACTTGACACTAAGTATCTCTGGTACTGCTTTTCTTTCTCTAAAACTTTGCATTTGGTTTTTCTGTGATTTTGTTGTTGGGTTGATTTTTGTTCTGAATTTTTTTCTTAATAAACCAGTGGACTGTTTTCAGTTCCTCCCCTCCAATAAATTAGCTTGCCTATACCTTTTGTAACCTTTATTCTGAAACTTGTTCAAGTGTTTGAATGTACTACAAGGAGCCTTGTGATTATTTTCATCACTTTTAAAACTCATTGTCATTTTGGAGACTAGAGGACCCTATCTGTAGTCTGCTGATAGTTTCATCACTCTTAATGGTCATGTTCACGTCTGTGTCATAGAATTTGCTGTTTTGATGCTACTGATGTTGACCACCCCTTCTTGAGTTCTTTCTTGCTCTGGACTTCCCAGGGCCTGCCTCCAGAGTAGCTGGGCCAGCTCCATGCCCTCAAGTATCTTGAGTATAAGCAGAGTATCATAGTTGGTGCAGTATGATTCCAGGTACAGCAGAAAATCTCTATGAGCCACCTTCTTCCTAGACTGACAGTGTTTGGCTTAGCCAGTTGTTGTAGTAGGGGGCCCCCGAGCCCTTTATCTAAAGTTAAAAGATATATTTCACCCTCTGTCTGGTATCCATGCAACATGCACCAACATAACAGCAGCTGTTTTTAATTTATCCAGGATTTTAATATCAGGCATATGGCCTAAGGGTACATTTGAAATCCTACACATGAAAATAATTAGATGCCTCTGAAACCACCAAATACGTAAGGATAATTAGTTCTGTTGAGGTGTCAAGAAAGACAAAAGGGGAAGCTGCTCTGAACCTAGTATTTTGACAGCAACATTTGTTTTCTCGAGAAAATTTTAAAGGAGCTTTTTCGATGAATTCTACAACTCAGATCCAGTCTGAACAATCCTTAGCAATGCAATTGTAAAGAAGCTGTTAAGTATAGTTTACTATTAGTTGTTCTAGAGTAAGTTAGTCCAAATTATATAACTTGTAGAAAGGGACTTAATTGCAAATCCCACATACAATGGTATATGTGGTTTTAAAATAGAAAATACATGTTCACAGCTTTCGAGATGTTGATGCCCATAGAAAAATGCAGAGGATATCATGCTGTTTAGGAAAAATAAAGACTAAATCCCTACTCCTGTTCTATATGTGTGTGTGTGTGTGTATACATACACACACACACACACACACATAGAAAAATGAAGTATTCAAAACAATGGGGTATGCCAGGTGTTTTTATTTTCTTTTAAATTATTAAAAGTAAATAAACTTCATATTTTGATCCAGTAGTTTTCCTTATAGCAAGATACTTTTTGGAAAGAATTCAAAATATGCTACATTGCACCATCATTTTAAATTATAACATATTTAAAACTAAATGTTTAATAATAGAAGGATGTTACCAGTCTTAGGTTAGAAACTCATAGCTATTAAAATGGTTTTTACAGTGTTTATCGATAAAGACATGGCAAGATGTTTATGAACAGTACAAAGTGGAAAATTGATTTAAAATTTAGCACATTATGTGGTATCATCACCCTTTTTTTTTTTTTTTTTGATGTATCAGATAAAAGCCAGAATGTTAACTGTATGACCTTGCAAAAGAAAATACAGGACTGTATGCCTTATTTCCATATTGTTAACTAGGTGCATTTTAAACTATTGAAAAATGTACAGATGTTAAAATATGGTTTAAACCTGGTTTACTTATATGCTCTATGATGTTTCTCATTTTGTTTTTTTGACATAGGCCTGAACTTTTTCGATTAAGAGTTCTTGAGTTAAATGCATCTGATGAACGTGGAATACAAGTAGTTAGAGAGAAAGTTAAGAATTTTGCCCAATTAACTGTGTCAGGAAGCCGTTCCGAGTAAGTAAGCTCGCCTTCCCTTTTCTATACCATGTCTTTGTATTTGTTTAAAATACATTTCTGCTAGAATTTCAACTTTTTTCATACTACGTCATATTTTTATCTAAATTATTTAAAATTAGAAATGACCTTTCCATTAGTAACTAATTTTAAGTTATTTAGCTATCAGGGGTTTTTAGTTGATATTTTGTCTAAGGAGTATTCATTAGTCAAATATGGTTTGGTGGTACACTCAAAATAAAAATCCTGATTTTTAATAATAATTCAATAGGGATGTTTAGTCAACTGCATATACTCCTTAGGTGGCAAAGTTCCAAGGTTAAATTTTTGGTACCTGACATATATTTAATTTTATTTGAGAGCACACTTAGGAATTTGTAGAAAGTGAATGACAGTTTTTGATATCTGCCTTGGATTGACAATATATATATATCATATACTTGATAAGGGACTTAGCTCAAGAATAAAGAATTCTTACAACTCAGTAATAAAAAGACAACCCAATTTAAAAATGGGCAAAGGATGTGAATAGACATTACTCCAAGGAATATGTTGTTGTTGTTGAGTTGCTAAGTCATGTCCAACTCTTGAAACCCCAGGGACTGTAGCCCACCAGGCTCCTCTATCTATGAGGTTTCCCAGGTAAGAATATTGGAGTGGATTGCCATTTCCTCCTCCGGGGATCTTCCCAACTCAGGGATTGAACCCGAGTCTTCTGCATTAGCCAACGGGTTCTTTACCACTGAGCCACCGAGGAAGCCCAAGGATGATAAACAAGTGGTCAATAAGCATATCAAAACATGCTCGTCAATATCATGAGCCAGAGAAATGCAAATAGAAACCATGTTGAGATACCATTTACACCCATTTAGAATGGCTATATGGAGAAGGCAATGGCACCCCACCCTAGTACTCTTGCCAGGAAAATCCCATGGACGGAGGAGCCTGGTAGGCTGCAGTCCATGTTGTCGCTAAGAGTCGGCACGACTGAGCAACTTCACTTTCACTTTTCACTTTCATGCACTGGGGAAGGAAATGGCAACACACTCGTGTTCTTGCCTGGAGAATCCCAGGGACGGGAGCCTGGTGGGCTGCAGTCTGTGGGGTCGCACAGAGTCGGACATGACTGAAGTGACTTAACAGCAGCAGCAGCAGCAGAATGGCTATAATCAAAAAGACAGAAAACAACTGGTATTACCAAGGATGTGGAGAAATCAGAACTCTTATACATTGCTGGTTGTAATGTAAAATGGCACAGCCACTTTGAAAACAGTTGGCAGTTCCTCTAAAAGTTAAATATGACCCAGCAATTCCAGCCCTACAATATATACCGACAGGTTATGAAAATATATACCCATGTACACAAATGTTTATAGCTGCAGCATTCATAATAGTCAGAACATGGAAAAAACCCAATATCCATCAACTAAAGAATGGATGAATGAAAAGATAATATGTTCATCCATTTGCCATAGTATTTGGCAATAAAAGGAATTGAAATAATGAGATACAACATGGTTGAACCTTAAAAACATTAAACAAAAGAAACCAGTCACAAAAGACAGCATGTTATGTTGACAATATATGATTCCATTTATGTTGTGTCCAGAATAGGCAAACCTGTGGAAACAGAAGGTAGAGATTCCTGATTGCCTGTGGCTGGGAAAGTTGGGAGAGAAGCGAAATGACTCCTAATGGGCACAGGGTTTCCTTTTGGAGTGATGAGAACGTTCTAAAGTAGATTGTGATAATAATGTATGAATTAACTCCTGTGTATTTCTCTGAATCAGTGGAAAGCCATGTCCTCCTTTTAAAATTGTGATTTTGGATGAAGCAGATTCTATGACCTCAGCTGCCCAGGCAGCTTTAAGACGTACCATGGAGAAAGAGTCTAAAACCACCAGATTCTGTCTCATCTGTAACTATGTCAGCCGGTATGTGTTATCGCCCTAAAGATAAATACCAGGGAACCTTACTTTGATAGCCCCAAACAGAGAAAAAAATGTTTCAAGGTTACCCTGAGTTTCCCCTTCATCAAATCTTGATTTGTTCTTAATAAAGTTCTTTGGGGGAGTTTTTGTAGACAATGACTTGTTTTTTTCCAATATTTTGCAGAATAATTGAGCCTCTGACCTCTAGATGTTCTAAATTCCGCTTCAAACCTCTGTCAGATAAAATTCAGCAGCAGCGGTTACTAGACATCGCTGATAAAGAACATGTCAAAATTAGCAAAGAGGTAATTACTATTACTGTTACAGCTAGTGTAAATTAGTAATTCCTTTGATGAATGCCTATGAAGAAGCCCTTTCTGAGAGTCAATTTTGTATTGCTTCAATTTTTGATGCTAGTTGCTCAGGCAAAGTTAAGTGAACAACTGGAATGTTTAGGAATTATAGGTTTAGCCTTTCTGTTGCTATTAGAAATTTATTCTGTCAATATTTCAGACTCAAAGCTGAGGCAAATTTCATACATAGACTACAAATTCTTCAACAGCAAATCTCTGCATAGTGATTACTAATACTTCTGTGCAAGAATTAATTAGGTATGATGCAATTCTGGTAATGATAGAGTATATACACCCCTATTCATTGCAACAGAATTTAACCATAATTTATGTAATCAAAGCTGTCTCCATGAATCCTGCCACTATAGAATTGACATTCTTTATTAAATTCATCCTTAATTGGCCGTAACAGGTTAAGAACAACTTTTTTCTCTTTAGGGAATAGCTTATCTTGTTAAAGTGTCGGAAGGAGACTTAAGAAAAGCCATTACATTTCTTCAAAGTGCTACTCGACTAACAGGTGGAAAGGAAGTCACAGAAAAAGTGATCACAGATATTGCTGGGGTAAGAGCACTGGGTATCCGAAAATTCTTTGACTTTTTTGTGACTTAAATTTACTTCAGCAAATAGTGATTATGTTCTGTCTATTCAAGCTGCTTCAACAAATGCCATAGACTGAGTGGTTTATAAACAGCATTCTCAATTTTAAAGATCAAGTGCCCACAGATCCAGTGTTGTGTAGAGGACATACTTCCCAATTTATACTGGTTCATACCTCCCTGCATCCTTCTGTGGTAAAAGGGAGTATTTTGTAAGGGCATAAATTCAATTTGCAAGGGCTGCACTCGTGACCTAATCACCTCCCAGTGGTGTCACCTCCAAATACTATCATGTTTAATCTGTAGCTTATAGTAGTAGCTAGGAAATATCAGAATGCAGGCAGGGATGTGGCAGTTAAATTTTAAAGGGTGGGTCCTATCCAAGGGATAAGTGACTAAAGGAATTCTTGTGCCACACCCTTGTCTTCAGATAGTCCTTTCCAAACTTAGCTCGGTTTACTGTAATGAAACTGACCAACTGGCCTCTGTGTTGACATCTTGGAGGAGTTTGTAAATGCCTTCCTCCAGTTACATGGCAGGTGCCTCATGGCAGTGCCTGATCTTTTAAAGATGGGCATGCATAATCAAGGCTGGACCTACCTATCTGGAGCTCGAAGTTCTTTGCCTTCCTATAACTGCAAAACATGTGCTGCTTGAAATCATTTAACAGGGAGTGGGTGCAAGACTGGTAGAGAAGTCAACTGTCTTCACCCGGAAACTAATTCTTTTAGGTAGTACCAGCTAAGACAATTGATGGAGTATTTGCTGCCTGTCAGAGTGGCTCTTTCGACAAACTAGAAGCTGTGGTAAAGGTAAAGTGACTCTATTAGCCTTGGGGAAGGGTGAAGGGATATTAATGCTAAAAGATATACATTTTGGTTATAGGACTTAATAGATGAGGGTCATGCAGCAACTCAACTTGTAAATCAACTCCATGATGTGGTGGTAGAAAATGATAACCTTTCTGATAAACAGAAGTCTATTATTACAGAAAAACTTGCTGTAAGTAGGCATTTTCTACATTTCAGCACAACATACACACCACACCCACAAAAGGGCAGTTTTACTATGTTTCATTTTCTTGTAGGAAGTTGATAAATGCTTAGCAGACGGCGCTGATGAACATCTGCAGCTGATCAGCCTCTGTGCTACTGTGATGCAGCAGTTAACTCAGAACTGCTAAAACTATATTCAGTATGTATTTCATAAGCAATTTATAATAAAATAACCAAAGCACCCTTAAAGTGAATATACAATTTATTTAACATTCAAACTTCATTAAGACATGTGCAATATGGCAATTTTACTGGGGGTTTAACCCTACCTAGGATGATTGCTTGCTGGGGCTTAGCAACAGGGTCCAGTTCACACTTAGCACTAATTAAATACTTTATTGAATAAATATAATACCAAACAAAATGCATTCAAATGCTAAAAAAAAATATTCAAAACTATCTCATCCCAGGAATTAAATAAGGTCGGCCACATTCATTGGCATTTCCTCCACTGTAGTATTGTAGAAAGTCTCAATGTCACGAAGAATCCTCTTGTCTTCTTCAGTAACAAAGTTTATAGCCACACCTTTCCTCCCAAATCGACCCCCTCTGCCAATTCTGTGTGAGGAAAAGAAATCAGTCATTAGAATATATTACTTCTCACATGCTGCATGAACTACTGAACATGATGATCCACTTGTTAACCATCAGCTGCTGTTTACTTATCAAGGTTATAGTTCGTGCTTCTAATTGGAGCACTAGCTGCTCAATATCTAGAGAAAAAAATCTTCCTCTGCAGTTAGTGCCAAAAGGATTCAAGGCTTGTCTGGCTGCAAAATGAGATTTTATCAGGTGTTTTGAGCATTACTTTTTTTTTTTTTTAAAGCAGATGACAGTATTGTGTTTGGGGTAGTGAATTTAAAGCCCATACCAAAGTGGGCCAGCCAAGAGCAGATGTCGGCCTGGGACAGATGTCAAACACCAGGGATAAAGCAAAGAAGTTATGTAATCCATTTCGACGCACTTCTGGAACTGTAAACTGCAAATACAAATGCTGCAAGGTTAACTACTGTCTAAAACTTAACAACTTTTTCCAGTGGGAAAACAAGTATTTGGTATGGTAACCCAAACTTATCACTGCTTTTTTGCTCAGTTTCACACGTTGTAACTCAAATTACTCAAACGTGTTTACCTCCAAAACATCTCTTTAACCTTCCTGATAGAAACCAGACAATACAAACCACCTAATAGGCTAATACACAAAATGCCTTAGCTGGAGCATGTTAAAATATCAAATAATCATGACAAAAAAAAAACAAGTATAAATACCGACTCGCTCTTTATTCAAACAGTGTGCTGTTTCGCTTATGATTCCACGTCCTAAATTACGTCAACGCCGTTTCTGAGTGCCATCTCGTCATCAACTGCTGCTATCGACTCCTGTATTTTTTAAAAAGTCTTTTTTTACATCATATAACAAAGTACAATTCAATTTACTTAGGGATAAAGCCACTATAACTAAACCAGGGACTGCTCAAATTGCTACCAGACAACACCAAGAAAATCCCAACTATAGAGGAATCACCAAGAAAAGCACATGGACACAAGAGCATCACTAAAAATAAAGCTCAAAAATAAGCTAAGACCAACAGATCTAAAACAACCTGATCTGTATGTAGAGTCCACGATTTGGGCAACATTCACAACTGTTTTCCCACTGTGCACAATCTTCCCAAGTACAGTTTTAATTATATCCTACCAAGTTACTATGTCTTAATACTTAATTCCCTGATTTGAAGTTACCTTTCAGACAATTTAGTCAGTAGAAAAGCAATGAGTTACACCAATACATTACTAAGTCAAGATGCCATCTACTCACCTGTGAATATAGTTTTCACGATTGGTAGGTAGATCATAGTTTATAACCAATGACACTTGTTGCACATCAATTCCACGAGCCTGAAATACAGTGATAATGATGTTCAAATTCTATGTAATATAGGGGCTTCCCTAGTGGCTCAGCAGTAAAAAAAAAAAAAAAGATGTGGGTTCAATTCCTGAGGTCCCCTGGAGAAGAAAATGGCAACCCACTCCTATATTCTTGCTGGGCAAATCCCTGGGCAGAGGAGCCTGGTGGGCTACAGTCCGTGTGATGTAGGCCACAAAATAGTAATGAACTATACTAAGTGGTATAGCTCACTGTGGAGCGTGGCCTTCTTTGTTCTCCCAAATAGCCCGAAGGTGGTAAAGGCCATTAGGAAACCTTCCCCCAATAACAAACTTTTGGTGGTTTAAAAAGAGCATTAAAAGACTCACCAACAAGTCAGTAGTGATCAAAACACGGCTTGACCCTGATCGAAATTCCCTCATAATAACATCTCTTTCTTTCTGGTCCATGTCACCATGCTGCAAAGTAACAAACCTATTAATTCAAGAATCACCAATCAAATTACTAACTTAACTTTATCAGCATGTATGAGACCAAGCGTCCCTGGCTGCTACTGGAGCATAGCAGACAGGTATAGTAAAGAAACAACTTTATTTTTAGCAGGGGGAACGACAACACAGCACTTAGCAGCTATATTGTAGTCTAAATCCTGCTTGAGTGAAAGCAGAGGCTTCAATTACCATTACTAGGTTAGAATACCTCTTACCAGGGCAGAAACTGTGAAGTCCCTGGCATGCATTTTCTCTGTGAGCCAGTCCACCTTGCGCCTTGTATTGAGAAAAATGACAGCCTGTGTAATTGTCAGTGTCTCGTACAAGTCACAAAGTGTATCCAACTTCCATTCCTCTCTTTCAACATTAATATAAAACTGTTTGATTCCTTCAAGGGTCAATTCTTCCTTTTTCACCAAAATTCGAATTGGATCTCTCATGAATTTTTTGGTCACTTCCAACACATCTGTTGGCATTGTGGCAGAAAGCAACACCACCTTAAAAAGATACGTTGTCACATGTAGTTAGCACAACTTTCACAATATTCAAGACAAAACGTTTTGAAATCAAGCGCCTCTGAACATGGAATTATACCAGATAGAAATAGTTATCCATCAGTTGCTGTTAAGTAGGGGGAATGACACAAAACACTTCAACTCTAATAGTGCCTGTGTTTAATCTCCTGCAATTTTAGGAAACTGAAATAAAGCTCACCTGAATACTAGTATTTAATTTTTGGAAAATCTCATAGATTTGATCCTTAAACCCTCGGCTCAGCATTTCATCTGCTTCATCCAAAACGAACATTTTGATCCATTTTGGAGCTGTTAAAAAATAAAGTCATGCCATCATATCTAAATTCTCAGGCATACTATTTGCTTTATTATAGTAAAAACTTTACTCATCAGCAATACTTACAGAGATATCTTCTGTTTAACATATCAAACACTCTCCCTGGTGTTCCAACAACAATATGTGGTGCTTCAGCCTGCAGTTTTTGCATTTCATTTCGAACATTTGTTCCACCAATGCAGGCATGACAAGTTGCTCCCATATAATCTCCAAGTGCCAGAATTACCTTTTGGATCTGNAAACACTCTCCCTGGTGTTCCAACAACAATATGTGGTGCTTCAGCCTGCAGTTTTTGCATTTCATTTCGAACATTTGTTCCACCAATGCAGGCATGACAAGTTGCTCCCATATAATCTCCAAGTGCCAGAATTACCTTTTGGATCTGAAAGCCAAAAGCCTTAATTATTATCCTGCAGAATTACAGGCTTGTGACTAAACTTTGAAAGCATAATGGCAAGTATCTGGTCTGCAAAAAGCTTTAATGCATGCACAGCACTTAACTACTTCCAAGCTTAAAATGCAGACCAATCTAACTACCTCAAAATAAACTTTTGTGAAAACATCTTGTGCCTCATCAAACTTTGAATCCTAATGCCCCAGGTACCAGCTAGGTAAATAACAAAAAATACTTCCTCCACTATCCTTCACTGTGTAGGAAAGTGTAAGTAGTGATTTAAAAAAGTAGCATTTTTAGCTGGAAGTTAATATTTATCCCCGAAGGGTACTGCAACTTAACAATCTTGGTCTTAATAAAGCCTACAGGTACATTAGCAAGGCTTTACTTCAAAGCCAATAGAGCAGTGAGCTTTGAAAACGCAGCATGCAACAGATGTATCACAAACTACTGAGACTGTCAAAGGAGAACATGTCACTGCAGTTTTCATGTTGCACAACTGCATTCAAACTTAAAAATGAAAACGGGTCTAGTCCACCCTGAACAGAAACCTCCAGTTTCTCAGTCTGTTACACAACCCTGCAAACCATACCTGCACACCCAGTTCCTGTCTAGCTTTCAACAAAACTCCCTGCATGCATGGACAGTTAAAAGGAGGGCTCTATAGGACAAATTTATACTAAGCTTTAAATTCTTCACAGTTGTGAAACCTGAAACCTATGCAACACGCAAGCAGTTTTTTTCAACTACACTATCAATACCTGTTGAGCCAGTTCTCTGGTGGGGGCCAATACTAGTGCTTGGGTCTCCTTGAACTCAATCTCCAACTGTTGCAGGATGGAAATAGCAAATGTGGCTGTCTTGCCAGTACCTGACTGAGCTTGAGCANCTTCTGTTTAACATATCAAACACTCTCCCTGGTGTTCCAACAACAATATGTGGTGCTTCAGCCTGCAGTTTTTGCATTTCATTTCGAACATTTGTTCCACCAATGCAGGCATGACAAGTTGCTCCCATATAATCTCCAAGTGCCAGAACTACCTTTTGGATCTGTTGAGCCAGTTCTCTGGTGGGGGCCAATACTAGTGCTTGGGTCTCCTTGAACTCAATCTCCAACTGTTGCAGGATGGAAATAGCAAATGTGGCTGTCTTGCCAGTACCTGACTGAGCTTGAGCAATCACATCATACCCTTTAATACATGGAATAATAGCTCTCTGCTGAATAGCTGATGGCTTCTCAAAACCATAAGCATAGATGCCCCGAAGAAGAGACTCCTTTAAGTTCATATCATCAAAGTTATCAACAATCTCATTCCAGTTGCTCTCGATGACACCATCGGGGTCCATTCCCTCTGGGCCGCCATGTTCTCTGCTGTTATAATCCGCGGAGCCACCAGACATGATCCGAAGAACCACTCAGTGCCGGACTGAAAAAGCTCTTTTTTTTTTTTTTTTAAATGTTGGATGTTTCTGAACATTTCTTTTAAGTATTTTGTTTTTTAAAGTTTTTTTTTTTTTAATTTTTGGCTGTGTTGGATCTTTGTTGCTACACTCGGGCTTTCTCTAGTTGTGGCAAGCTGGGGCTGCTTTTCGCTGTGGTGCACAGGCTTCTTATTGCAGCGGCTTCTTTTGTTGTGGGCCACGACTCTGGAGTGCATGGCCTTCAATAGTTGTGGCACACAGGCTTAGTTGCCCCAGGGCATGTGCCGTCTTCCCAGCCCAGGGGTCAAACTTGTGTCCCCTGTGTTGGTAGGCAGATTCTTAACCACTGGACCACCAGGGATACCCTAGCTCTTTCATTTTACAATGCATTCTAACTTTTTTTTTTTTAGCTGAACGCCAGATAATTTTGGGCTGAATTGCCACAGAACTCCTCACCAATGACCTTCATGTTACTAAATTCGATAATCCTCGGCTTACTTGAACTTCAAGCAGATTTGATGCAGCGGATAACCTCTATTTTCTTGAAATATTATCTTTCTTTGTTTTCCGGGTTCCCTTTTTTTCTTTTTTTTTTTTTTTTCATTTTTTTTTTGGTTTTTTTTTCTACCTCACAGGCTGTTCTTATCTGCCCTTAAGGTTGGAGTGTCCCAAGCTCAGTCTTGGATGTGTTTTCTCTATCTACACTCACATACTTGTTGATATCCCAGTCTATTTACTTGAAACACACACACATAGGCTCCCGAATAAATACACCTACCCTGGAAGCTCTCCTCTGAGTTCCAGATTCATGGATCCACTTGCTCTAGGGGCTCAGTCTTCATTTGGATGTCTAATGGCCATCTAGAACTCAATATGTCTAAAACCGAACTCCAGACTCTCCAGATCCCAAATGCTTCATCTGCAGGCTTTTCCCATCTCAGCTGGTAGTCACTTTGCATCAGGTGACCCCTAGATTCACAATCTTCCAATGCCCCCCCCCCTTCCACTGGGAGGAAAAAGTCGAAGTCCTTACAGTGGCCTACAAGACCCTATGCCAGCTCATCTCCCTCTTACTTTCTCAGCTCCAGCTACTTTTTTTGACTAACCTGAGCACATGCCCACCCCAGGGTCTTTGCACTTGCTGTTTCCTCCAGCTACAGGAGTTATCTAAGGGCTCAGTTCTTCAAATCTTTAGCCAATTTAAAGTTGAAACCACCCCTCCCTCCCATCCAGTGATCCCTGTCCCCTTTTCTGCTTTACAATTCTCTGTAACACTTGTTTGCTGATGTATTGAATTCCATATTTATTTTGTTTGATTACCCCACGGAGGCTGGGTGTTTTGTTTGTTTTGTTCTTGATGTATCCCTAGTGCCTAGGGCAGTGCTAGTCATGCAGGGAGCAATGATAAAAAAAAATCCTATCTAGCCTTCATAGTCCAAAAACCAAGGGCCCCAGCTTCTCTCTACTGAAGCTAAAGATCCCTCCATGAACAGCACTAGACTTCAAGTTGCAGTTTCCAAACCACTTCCAGCCACTTCTTACCATCTTACCATACCACTGAAACTACCGCTTCCCACCCCAGCCTAATGTACCATTACACTCTTGTCTGGATTGTTAAGAGCAGGTTCCCAGCAGGTCTGCTCATTTCCTCTTGCCTGTTCTAATCTATGACTCACACAACAGCCAGTAATCCTTTTTTTTTTTTAATGCAAGTTAAATCAAGTCGCCCCTGTGTATCCTCCACCCACACTCTATTTTTGTTGGGCTAATCCAAGGCCCTGTAAAACACCCCCATCCAGCAGCTTCTCGAGTCTTCAGCTGCCCCACTCTCCATGTTGCCCCCCTGGCCCAGCAACCTTGGCCTCTTGTCCATTCTTTGAAGGGGCCATGTGTGCATGTGTGAGTGCTTGCTAAGTTGCTTCAGTCATGTCAGACTCTTTGACATCCCATGGATTGTAGCCCATCAGGTTCCTCTGTCCATGGGGATTCTCCAGGCGAGAATACTGGAGTGGGTTGCCATGACCTTCTGCAGAGGAGCTTCCCAACCCAGGGATCGAATCCATGCCTCTTAGGTCTTCTGTATTGGCAAGCAGGTTCTTTATCACTAGCAGCACCTGGGAAGCCTGAAGAAGCCATACTCCTGATTCCAGGGCCTCTGCCTGGCCCTTAGTTTGGAGCATGGCCCAAAAGTGGGTGACAGGGGCTTTAGCAGCTCTGCCCCCAAACCCCAACTACACAAGCACACACAAACATATAACCTAAGCAAAAAAAAGGCCTCGTCTACAACAGAGCTTCATGATAGAACCCAGAGACCAGAATATGTTGGCGCTTTTGTTGTTTAGGCAAACAATCTAACCTAAAACCTGCTCCACCCCAGGTCTTAGATAAACATTGTTCTCTTTGAGGGGCGTCCCCCACCAAATCAAGTCCAACTCCCCAACTTGTCCAAATCACATCCCTTCATGGTCACACTTAGACTTCATGGCTAGTCCAATCATGTCTTTATTGATTTATTTTTAATTTATTTTGTCTCTCTGCACCTCAAAAATTTCATGAAGGCAAAGTTCCTGTCTGCTTTGCATACTGCTAAATCTCCCATGCCTCCCAAAATCTTTTTGTGGAAGGAAGTCCTTTTTTTCAGAATAAATGCACAATGCCAGTGTGTGAAGAAAATGTTGTAAAAAGAAGACTTGCCGGCCAACTTCATCCCTCTCCTTGAAAAGGGAGGAGGAAGAAGAAAGAATACACTCCCCCTACCCCACCCCTCCTGGCCCTCCCATTCCTCAAGAAAGTCAGTCCTGGTCCAGCTCCACCCTTCTCTCACCAAGTACAGAAACCTGTTCTGTAATTAGTTTTAGTCTGAGTCGCCAGGCTTTGGGAGTGAAGAGCCTTCAAGATGATGAACAGGAACAGACTCTGATGAGACTCTAGTGTCCCAGCCACACATGGCATTTTGAAATTCATAGCCAAGCCTCTTTGCTACACCGTGTTCCCCCAGGAGGTAAGTTACTTCTGTGGCAGGCAGCGTAGGCTAGAACTCTGGAGGCCTGGGTGGTCCCTAATGCCACATGCTTAAGTCGCCTGTGGGGTCTCAGCTATAAAGTGGGATGATCATGAAAGTGAAAGTTGCTGAGTCGTGTCTGACTCTTTGCGACCCCTGGACTATACAGTCCACGGAATTCGCCAGACCAGAATACTGGAGTGGGTAGCCGTTCCCTTCTCCAGGGGATCTTCCCAAACCAGGGATTGAACCCAGGTCTCCTGCGCTTCAGGCGGATTCTTTACCAGCTGAGCCACCAAGGATGATCATGAAGGTGAACATCTTACCACAGTGAGGCTCTGTACAGCTCGAGTTGTAGTTACCTCTGTCACCTGTGCAGGTAACTGTGGATCAGGTGTGACTGTGCCCCGTGTGGCGTCCTAAGGGAAGGGATTCATATAACCCCTGTGATGACCCTCCTGTGGGCAGGGAAGGGTTTTCCGCAGAATAAATACTAGATGTCAGCTTTGCTAGCTGATTATTATTTGTCTTGGAGGTATACTCTACCTACTCGGAAGGAGTTGAACTACCTGCCAGAATGATTAAGGAGGGCCATTTTCAGATAAATATTTTCACGCAGCAACCCAATCAATACACGCATACAGGCAGCCGTGTAAAAATCTGCTGGGGTAACACTGTGCCTCGTCATTTTTATGGTGTTTTATAACAGAGGGTTATTGGCCATGGATGTACTTCAGGTTCAATTGCCTCAAGTCTGAGATCTAAGGCAGAGCAACCATTCCAGGGCAAAGCAAGACTTCAAGATCTTGCAAGACCTACAGAGGAGCCACTGGACCGTATGAGCTGTTTCTAGCATGGTTCACAAATCCATCTGCCTATAAACAGTGCCTCAGACCCTCTCTGAATGTCTGGATAAAAATTGTGTCAGCTCTGTAATTGGAACCTGCGAGTCAGGAGGGTGACATTCCTGAAATCTGGAAAACAGGCTGCCCTCTAGAATTCAAACCCTTCAGTCTGCACTGAAGTGAAGAAGGCAGGAGCCAAATTAAATCTCAGAAAAGCTTCTGGACAGAAGGAGGGTGGGTCCAAAGAGCCTAGAAGATACCAGAGAGGAAGGATTGGGCCTGTTGTGCAGCAGTACACAGAACCGAGAGGCACCCAGTGGGCAGTATTTATATCCCATACACCAAGGACAGTGGTCTGACAGCATTGACCTTAGTAACATATCACTCACATGATTCCCTTTGCCTGTTTCATGCTCACTGAAGCCTCCGATTTTGACTCCTTTTTCAGGGGACAGTATGTCCAGAGCGGTCACCATGACACCAAGTCCCCGGCCCTGTAGTAGTTATCGTTCCCCTTATGAGTTAATAAATGGCAATTCCAACCAGGAGTCTTGTGAGTCCGTTTTTACTTCACTGAACCTATCAACTCCGATTTTACTTCCTTTATTTTTTGGTTTTGATCAACACTGATTTTAAATGTATTTATTTTTATAAATAAACATTCGGATCTTCCCTCGTGGTTCAGTTGGTAGAGAATCCGCCTGCAATACAAGAGACTGCTTGCCAATGCAGGAGACGTGGTTTCAATCCCTGGGTCAGGAAGATCCCCTGGAGAAGGAAATGGCAACCCATTTCCAGTATTCTTGCCTGGGAAAGCCCATGGACAGAGGAGCCTGGTGGGCTGCAGTCCATGGAGTCACCAAGAGTCGGACACAACTTAGTGACTAAGCCGCTGCGCTGGGTCTTTGTTGCTGTGTGTGGGCTTTCTCAGGTGTTGGCGAGCGGGGGGCGCCTCTTCTCACTGCAGTGGCTTCCCTTGTAGAGCACAGGCTCCGGGGCTCTCGGGCTTCAGCAGTTGTGACTCCAGGGCTGTAAGGCACAGGCTCAGCAGTCATGGCACATGGAAGTGGCTCCGCAGTATGTGGGATCTTCCCAGAGCAAAGATCTAACTAGTGCGCCCTGAATACGCGGCAGATTCCCAACCGCTGGACCACCAGGGA